TTCACTTGCCTTCACAATGCAGCTGACAAATCACATTATGAAATGTATCGGCTAAAGGATCAACCAAGTAATGAATGTCTGTATAATGCATCGTTCGCACTTGATCGCTGCTGATGTACCTTTCTGCGACGCGTGATTGAGAAACCCGCTGGACTGGGAGACGGACTCAGGAAAGCCGCTGGATTGGGGGACGGGCTCAGGGAAACCGCTGGAGCTCGTGCGCACCACGCTGTCACCGCGGGTTATACAGCGGTTTCTGCAGCACGGTGTCTGCAGCTTCAATATCCAGATCTGCATTTTTGAAGTTTACTGCCCCATTCAGATGCAAGTGGTCCTTGTTGCTGAACACTAAGCGGTTCTGAAACCCTTGATCGGTCTGAGCCATTGTTTTCAGCCAGATGACAAATGTCAGCAACTGATATTTGTCGGCTTCTGCCAGGTTCTGATTAATGGTCACATAACTGGGATTAAGTTTGGGGCTATTTTCCAGAATCCTTCTTGCCGTTGTACGACGTGTGCCTGCCTTCTGGATTATCTTTTGGATTTTGATGATGGCAGACCTGACCTATGCCATGTTCACTGCTGTCCTTTCTTACTGCATCTTCTTTTCGTTCCTTTTCGTTTTCTGCTTTTTCGCTTCGTTTCATCTTGGTTCAGCGTTGGGCCGTCTTTCAGAAACTTTTCATGCATGTTTAAAACTTGCATTTGCACAAGAAGCGTGCTGAATGTTAAAAATGAACTCTCTGCTGCCTTTGAGAGGCGATGTTGGATTTCGTTTACCAGTGCAATGTAACAGCTTTTGCCTTTCGCTCTATGCTGAGCAGCAGCACGACCCCAAGTGAAGTTAGGATACATTATCTGAGTAAAACTTAAGAGTACGGGCTCTCGAATGAAACGAAAAATCGCCGGCTTGTGTGGTACTCGACACCACGACACACACATGGTCAGGACATATTTGTGTTGACAGCCGGTACATTTTGAGACACAGACTCCGAATATTTCGGTTGGTTTAGTATGTGGCGGCCATTGCTCGCAGGGTGACCGGTATCGGTGGCAGACCGCACCAGGTAGGCGAGAAGATCAGTATCGGTGGTAGACCGCACCAGGTAAGCGAGATGATCAGTATCGGCGGTAGACCGCACGAGGCAGGCGAGGCCTTCGCATCGGTGCTGGACCGCATCCTCTACCAGTATCGGTAGTAGACCACACCAGGCAGGCGAGATGACCAATATCGGTGGTAGACCGCACGAGGTGGGCGACCCACATGGAGGATGGGATATACACCGAGATCAGTGATGGTGTATCACGCCATTCAGTGATATGTGATGTGAGAGGCGATGAAGGCTGATCGCGAATGGTTACAAATTTATTGCCTGCGATATGTCATCGTGTTGGATAATGAATGCGTAATGGAGAGCGGTAATGGGGTCGCTTGGAGAAGATGCAAACTGAGAGCGATAACTAAACAGTGACCAAAGAACATCAACTGTCGTTAAACAGTTCTCTACTAACCATCTTCAAACACTGTTGTAATGCATTTAGAATATCACATTTTGGGAAAGGGATTTTATCATTCCGTAGGTCTATGCGAAGCAAATATCATATAACAACCTTAAAATCACGGTCGGAAAATTTGGGATGGACATGTTTAAGCAGCCTGGGGCCAGAGCAATGTTTTGCAGGGCTTGTGCACAACATTTAAGCAGCTTATGTGAGTTTCTTCCCTTTAACTTAACCAACCAAACTTTAACAGTCCATATTTACTGGTTGCAATGCTATGCTTTACTGAAGAAGTGGCCGAATAGCATGTGCATATGTGCCGTAAAGCACTTGTAAACGTATGCTTTGAAACACAACTAAGTGTTTTCCCTACCACGAAATCTGAAGCCGTAAATTATATCCGCTTCGGAGAATGCGGTTCATAAACATATTCTGTTTTTTGTCGTGACCGAAATCAATTAAACTTGTTTGTTGGACGGAGACCGACTGGAATCTGCGACCACAAGGCCCATGATAGGGTTGAACAATCCGATCCACCGTTTTCCCTTTACCGGCGGTACAATGCGGACAAAGAAAGCCTCGGGGCGCATCCCGCATGCTATGCAAAGTCGAAACCCGCTAATTTGCATTCCTATCAAACTCCATGCTGTTTGATGGCCTCGTCGGCGAGACCCGAAATCTGACCTCTCAACTTGGGCGTCACGCTGGTGTCCAACACCTTCACTGTATGTGAAACTGGCTTAGAAGGAGCGCTTGGAGACATGGGTAATGTGTTAGCCGCCTGGTCCTGAAGCTGTCCGGCTCATTCCATGTAGTAGATTTTGCTAAAAGTGGCATCATCCACTAGCTTGCCTCGCCTGCTTTCACCGATCCACTTGCCATTATCTTGTTAGTATAACAGCATGACATAACTTTCTCTCGGTTATCTTTTGGATTTTATGCTCTTAGTTACATCTATATTTGGGCATGCAAATATATATATATATATATATATATATATATATATATATACAAATATATACACATACATATCAACTCAACCGTATGCATGTATATATATATGTATGTATATATATATATATATATATATATATAGATATAGATATAGATATAGATATAGATATAGATAGATAGATAGATAGATAGATAGATAGATAGAGAGAGAGAGAGAGAGAGAGAGAGAGAGAGAGAGAGAGAGAGAGAGAGAGAGAGAGAGAAGAGAGAGAGAAGAGAGAGAGAGAGAGAGAGAGAGAGAGAGAGAGAGAGAGAGAGAGATATATATATAAGATATATATATATATATATATATATATATATATATATATATATATATGCTTACGGTGGAGTTGAATGCCACACAAGCCGGCGATTTTTTTATTGCATTCGAGAGTCAGTGCTCTTAAATTTTGTTTAGATAATATGCCCTTACTTCACTTGAGGTCGTGCTGCTGCTCAGCATAGAGGGAAAGGCAAAAGTTGTTACTTTGCATTGATAAGCAAAATCCGACATCGCATCCCAAACGCAGTTGAGGCTTTATTTTGAACATTCAGCACACTTCCTGTGCAAATGCAAGTTTAAACATGCCTGAAAAGTTTCTGAGAGACGGGCCTACGCTGAACCAAAACGAATCGCAGCGAAGAGGCAGAAAAAACGGAAGGAAGAAGAGGATGCAATAAGGAAGGACAGCAGTGGGTATGGCATAGGCCAGGTTAGCCATCACCAAGCACCCATCAAAATCCAAAAGATAATCCAGAAGGCAGACGCCCGTCATACAACGGCAAGGAGGATTCTGGAAAACAGCCCCATACTTCATCCCAATAAAGTGACCATCAGTCAGAACCTGGCAGAAACCGATAAATAACAGCAGCTGACATTTGCCATCTGGCTGAAAACAAAGACTCAGACCGATTAAGTGTTTCCAAACCGCATAGGGCTCAGCAACAAGGAGCACTTATTTCTATATTTGCGTAAATCACATAGCATAACTCCCACAGGGCACAAGGTCAATCGCTTTTTTTGCGCCGTGTGCTGTTTGTTTTACGACTTTCAGATTAAAAGGTTTGGTTTCAGTGGCTCAGTTGGTAACATCACGTGTCTGTTGTGGACATGCAAGGCATTCTAGCTCTACCGGTCAAAATATTTTTAACCGGTTCCAAAAAAAGATATTGCTTATCGTTTGCAAGCGGATGATTCGCGCCGCCTGCATAATGCAGCGGGCATCTTCTTGACAGCTCCCTGTAAAAAAAATTGGGCGTAGCAATTCGTTATGCAGATTTAAAAAGTGTTTATTATGGAGACGTCTGAGCCACGCTTCTTCCAATTACAGGCTGCCAAATACATGGTGAAAACGTAATCCCCGGCACATAACAGGGCATCCAGTCGATTTCTAACACAATAATGAATTCTATTAAACTTTATTATTTCGTTTCTCTGCTACCCCAGCTCCAGCAAATCGAGTCTGGTGGAAGGGATGGAAGCGAAAGGACCCGTCCTGAGAAACTGCTGCCTCTGTTCGGCCTCATAATGCAATGTGTTGCAATAGACAAGCCACGGAAAAGTAAATTTGGTCATGTTGTGAAGCGACCGCATTGGCACATGCGCATGCAAGGACTTACACATATACTACATAGTTACATAAGCCAGGTGTCCACCCATGATTTGTGTTCTTTCAAAATACATTACATGGATGCACGCACCGTGATGATGAAGTGTTATGTGAAATACGTAGGCCTCAAGCACGGCCTTAGTCGCTGCTCCGTCCGTCTGCCTCTGTTCCCGTATTCGTTCTTCAGATGTCCGCGCTCTTCCCGCCTTTTCCGTAATTCCTTATTTGTAGCACAGGCATTTATTTTTGAAGGATGCGAGCATTGTTCCAAATCACAATTTTTTTCAGGCCAGGCACTCGTGCATCTCACTGTGCTCCAGATCACTAGTGTTGTGTTTTCAGCATGTTTCTACACTGAATATGTCGGCCGCAGATGGCCCGTCAAGGCATGCATGTCGGCGCTCTTTGCCGTTGGCCACGCTGTACCGGCAGGCTTCTGACGGTGTTCGGTTACCTGACGTTGAGCCACGCTGCGTACCGGCAGGTTTCTGATGGTGTTCTGTTGCCTGACGCTGAACCACGCTGTGTACCGGCAGGTTTCTGATGGTTTTCTGTTACCTGACGAGCCACACTGTGTGCCGGCAGGTTTCTGATGGTGTTCTGTTGCCTGACGCTGAACCATGCTGTGTACCAGCAGGTTTCTGATGGTGTTCGGTTACCTGACGTTGAGCCACGCTGTGTACCGGCAGGTTTCTGACGATGTTCTGCTGCCTTCATTGGGCCACGCTCGTGCCGGCAGGCTTCTGATGGTGTTCTCCTGCCTGCCATCGAGCCACGTTCGTGCCGGCAGGCTTCTCATGATGTTTGGCTGCCTGACGCTGAGCTACACCGTGTGCCGGCAGGTTTCTGATGGTGTTCGGTTACCTGACGCTGAGCTACACCGTGTGCCGGCAGGTTTCTGATGGTGTTCGGCTGCCTGACGCTGAGCGTTCTCTCCACAATACGGGAGTACGAGTATGACGCCGGCATCATTCTCTTCTACTGCGAGTCGGTGGTGGTCGTGTGGTTCATCATGGAGTTTGTGCTAAGGTAAGAGGAACGGCCGGGATGCTCCTATGGGATGACCAGTGACGCCCCAGGGCGTCATTTCCTTGTCGGAAGGGTGTCATCTTAAAGTTCTTTTAGCGGTGCCTGGCGGCTGCTGACACACCTCCGAGTGCTGTAACCTAAAAAAGGTTACCGAATTTGAGCTCGCTGCTCAATGTTACAGGGAAGAAATCTGTTGCAACAGCTTTTTGCGACAATTCATCGCTGGATAGACAGAAGTGTAGCTCACCAACTCTTGTGTGGCGCCAGCGCTGAGGTTAAACTACGCGACTGAGAAACCAAACGCAGGGTTCAGTGCGAGGTTCAATTCCCACGGTGCCCGCCCTTTCTATCAGAGTGGGAGGCAATGAACGCTAGATAGCGACTGAATGAGTCTTAAAGCCCCAATGTCAATAATTCTCCCAGC